CCTCACAACCTTGTGATGAAGAAGAGCCCAAGAGAAAGTGTGTAGTAGGCTCAAAGTGACCTAGAATGTTTGGTTGTTCAAGGGGGACTTAAATCTATTAATAGATGCTCAGAGGAGATTCCAATGCCTTACTTACTCACAGATGAAAGTATGGATTGATTCAACTATTATGTGAGGAACAATAAAATGAATTTTAAAAGAAGCAGTAGTTAGACCACTGCTGATAAAGCCCTCCCTGGATTGCCTGGACCTTAATAACTACAGAGCAGTGTCTAACCTCCATTTTTTGTGCAAGGTGATTGGGAGGACAGTTGCCCTCCAACTTCAGGCAGTCTTGGATGACACACACTTCTATTTCAAACCAGCTTCAAAGCAGGATATGGAGTTGAGACTCCGATGGTCACTTTAATGGATGGTCTTCATCTCAACACTGACAGGCGAAGTGTGTCCCCATTGGTGCTTCTACACCTCTCAGCAGCTTTCAATACCATCAACCATGGTGTCCTTCTGGATCACCTAGGAAGGCTGGGTATCAGAGGCACTGTGCTGCAGAGGTTCTGGTTGTACCTCTCAGGCAGGTTCCAGATGGTGACACTTGGGGGTAGTTGCTCCTCAAAATCCCACAAGGTGCCATTCTATTCCCAATGCTTTTTAATATTTACATGAAACTGTTGAGAAAGACCATCTGTAGACATGGGGTAGGATGTTATCGGTACACTGATGACACCTAAATATATTTCTCCATGCCATGAAAAGCAGCTACAACTAAGGCTAACGTGTCTCCTCTGAATGAATTCCTGGAGGAGGAAATGCGCTGGATGAGGAAAAAAAATTGAAACTGAACTCAGGCAAAACAGAGGTGCTTGCCATCAAGGGTCCTAATCTGGGGATGGAGGTGTATCAACCAGTCCTGAATGGGGTTACACTCCCCCTGAAAGACTTGTGTTTGTAGCTTGGGAGTACTCCTGGATCCGTCTCTCCAAATGTCAGACCAGGTAGATGCAACGGTCAGGAGTGCTTACTATCAACTTTGGCTGATCCACCAGCTGCGCTCCTTCCTAGATTTCGAGGACCTGAAGATGGTAGTGTATGCACTGGTAACCTCAAGGCTGGACTTCTGCAACACACTCTACATTGGGCTACCTTTGTACCAAGTTCAGAAACTCCAGCTGGTTCAAAATATGGCAGACAGATTGGTTACGGGAACATCTAGGAATTAGCATATTACATCAATCCTAAAGCAACTCCACTAGCTGCCTATTAGTTTCTGGGCAACATACGAGGTTTGGGTCCATGTTACCTACAGGATCCCCTTAAACCATACAATCCCCCCCACACACACACACACTTAGGTCCTCTGGGGGAAGTTACTCCAACTAGCCAGAATCCACTGGCAACCACTACTCAGAGGACCTTTTCATCGGCCACTCCATGACTGTGGAATATTCTGCCAGTAGAGCTTCGACAGCTAAGTCAGCTGATGGAATTTAAGATACAAATGAAGGCCTACCCAGTTTTAATGATGAATTTTAACACTGTATGCCCAATTTTTGTTTTGTGGAAATGTTTTAATATTTGTATTTTATGGTTCATTAAAATGATTGTGTTTATTCTTTAGTAATGCTATAACCTGCCTCGAGCTGTGAGTACAGGAGAGCAAGAAATAAAACTATTATTGTTGTTGTTATTATTATGAAAGCATAGACTGAAATATTTCTAGCATCTGTAGAAGAGCCAAACACTACATATGTAGGGCACTGTTTCCAGTAAATAGAAATTAGCACTTTGATTGTTTCCTGGACATTTGAAGAAGCTAGTGCAAACTTTTAGTACAAAGTTTGGGGGATAAGAATAGGAAAAAACACAAGAAAATCTGATGAGACCAACTGGAGCAGTGGTTCTCAACCTGTGGGTCCCCAGGTGTTTTGACCTACAACTCCAGCCAATTTACCAGTTGTTAGGATGTCTGGGAGTTGAAGATCAAAACATCTGGGGACCCACAGGTTAAGAATCACTGAATTAGGGACATGTGATTGAAAAATGCCTTTTTACTATGCAGGCAAGACCACAATACCCCTGTTCAAGCCTCATAGTATTTGTTCAGGTGACCAAATGCAAGTTTTCAGCATCATGTACATAATGTGATGTCTTTAAAAGGTTATCTTGCTACATTGGAAGCTGTTAGTAGTCTTGAGCTTCAAGGATTATACAGACCAAACTGTTAAAATGCAAATGAAAAGATTCTCAAATGTTCTGAAAAAAGTCTACACCAAAGCTGGAACTTTTTCTCAACTGAAGAAAAAGAGGCGAATGAAGATGTGATAGTTATTCTATTAAATAAAACCAGGCATGTTTATCTCCGTAATTTATAGAGCTTTTGTTTTATCAAGAACATGAAGATAATGTTTGACATATAGATTGTGGATATTAGTCCACATATGGCTCTAACTGTAATCCCCTATGATAAACCAAAAATAAAATTGAGGCATCAATAAAAGGGAAACTATTTGATCATAACAAACATAAAATACAAGAATAGGATGGCACTCTTTGAAGTTAAAACTACAGCCTAATGCTGCAATCCCCTACTTTACTAAGTTTACTTACAAATGTTTAGTGTGATTCAACGTGCATTAGAATCTCTCTTAACTACAATAGGATGCCAAAACACCACCAGAAAAAAACTGAAGCAAACTGCAATTATTGAATGCAGAGGAAGCATTCATTCTAAAGCTTTCCATCCCCACAGAGCAGGTTTGCAGAGGGTATGCTTGATCCATATCACAGCAATGCCAACTCATCCATTCCTCCCTGTGAGGATGGTGACCCAATTTTACAAGTCACTTCTGCCAAAGAATGAGAAATCTCGTGTAGAAAGTACACTAGAGTGACTAGGGGGTTGCTACAGACTAAGGTAGAGAGTGAAAACTGAGAGCCATTAAATGCATATCCCAACTTTCTGCTCAAGACGGCATTTTAAAAATCAAAATTATGGCATGAGGAAAGCAGTTGTTAGATTCCAGAATACCTTTCTCCTGGGAATGAAACAACTTAATTTAATAATTGTCTGAAAAAAGGGCAAAAAGGCAATGACAGAGCAGCAACTTTCATTGTTTGATTAGGTGGCCTAATTTGAAAATGGTAAGTCTTTCAGGATGGTAAAAACAAAAATCTGGCAAAGAGCTCCAAAACTGTAGGGCAACAGGAGACTCCAGTGAAACTTACTGTGGTTTGTAGAGTAATGCATGAGCATGGGGACAATCTTAACTTGTAGATTTCCAGGATCTGAAATGAGTCGTGAGTTACTAGGAAAGTCAGAGACATACTCCATAGAAATTATCTCTCTGTACTGCAACATTTCTCAACTTGAGGGTTGGGACCCCTGGGGGGGTCATGAAGGGGTGTCAGAGCTGTCGCCAAAGACCATCAGGAAACACAGTATTTTCTGTTGGTCATGGGGGTTCTGTGTAGGAGGTTTGGCCCAATTCTATCATTGGTGGGGTTCAGAATGCTCTGATTGTAGGTGAACTATAAGCCTCAGCAACTACAACTCTCAAATGACAAAATTAACCTCCCACCCCACCAGTATACACATTTGAGCATATTGAGTATTCATGCCAAGTTTGGTCCAGATCCATCATCATTTGAGTCCACTGTGCTATCTGGAGGTAGGTGGACTAAAACTCCAAAACTCAAAGTCAATGCCCACCAAACCCTTTCAGTATCTTCTGTTGGTCATGTGAGTTCTGTGTGCCAAGTTGGGTTCAATTCCATCATTGGTGGAGTTCAGAATGCTCTTTGACTGTAGGTTAACTATAAATCCCAGCAACTACAACTCCCAAATGACTAAATAAATCCCCCCAACCACACCAGTATTTAAATTTGGGCGTATCGAGTATGTGTGCCAAATTTGTTCCAGTGAATGAAAATACTTCCTGCATATCAGATATTTACATTACGATTCGTAACAGTACCAAAATTATGAAGGAAGGTTGAGACCCACTAATGTACTGCATTCTGAAGGCAACAACTTTCATTGTAGCAATTACCAGGAAAGGGATTACCACAAACAAGGCCCCTATAATATTTTTTTTAAATGGTGTAGGAATTTTGAGAGTATGCTATTGAGTTGGGACTGCTCCATTTCAAAAAGTCCATTAAAAGAGTTAGAAAAGAGGGAAGCCTGAAATGATTCAGAACTTTATCATGTTCCCTTCAGTGAAAAGCATGAGTATTTTAGAGTGATTGAACTTTTTTTCAAAGAAAGTATGCATTAGATACATTTACAAAATAATAGGAAGTCTACTCTCCAGCAACTTTTGACAGGGCATACCTTATGACTACTCAACTGGAAAAAAAACTGTTCTAAAAATGGTAAATTGTATCCCCTGAAATACGCTTGAACTTAGTCAGAACTTTGAAATAGAATCCAAAACTTCTAAAAAGAAACAGGCAAGGAAAGACTGCTTTGCATAAAGTTTCAATATGCTGCCCTCTACAGCAAGGAAATACACAATTACTCCACAGCACCTACATAATAATGTAAAGATTTGGACACTGATGAAAGATTACTCTGAAAAAGAAAATATGAACACACTTGGTGAGATTCTACCTTGTGCTGGGAGAGTTGCCATAGCTGTGGGAAACATTGGGCCCGTCTTTTGCTCAACTGTATCCTCAGGTGCACAACAATAGAAGAGCTGGGACACAGGCCATTAACTATCCTATAAGTTGAAATAAGCCTGGGTACACATCCATAGCTGGTCAGTGGATGTAGTGTCAAACCAGCATTTCTCAACCATTATCCTCACATTGGAGTAGGAGCCTTGGAAAGAACATACGTGGGAGTCAAGCGCTGTTATGCCCACATATGTCACCACTAGGTTGAAAGTCAATATGGTTTGCTTGACATACCAAACATATCATGTACTCTTTGGCTTAGTGCTGCAGCATTAAATAGAGGCATATTCCAATATCCTACAGAAAACAAGACACAAGGCTTAGAAGAGGGGCTAAAATCTATTTTGCACGCTATTTCATATTAAGGATTTCCATCATTTATTAGACAACCTGCCCACTGGAGTTTGGAAGACCAAGTCACCATCCATTTATTTCAGGCGAGCAAAAATGACTGCTTGCTCAGTCGCCTTGTCACAGCTACCTGCTCTGATGACAAAAGAAAAAGTGACAGGTCTCCAACGTGAAGGAAAGTAGAACAAGTGATGTACTTCAAAAAGCCCAGAGGAAGCCTGGCTTTGACAAACTGTTTATAAGTGCAGCAGTCACACATAAAAATATACGGTAAAGCCTGAGACAAAAAAAGATGACATTTTTGAACAGACAGAGTTGAGGACGTGTGCATGTGGTTTTGCCTCAGCCCACAACATTGGCAAGAGCTCTGTATGTTGTACGTCAGGAACTTGCAAAAAACAACCCCCTGAATTACCTCAACAAGAAAATACTTCCTATGCAGGTAAAGGTGACATGATTTGATATGCAAGACCAGGTTCAAACCAAGCTCAGACATATAAATCCAGTGCAAGTCACTAGGGCAAGTCATACTCAGCTTCGGAGGAAGGCAGTGCAAATCTCCTTTGTAACACATCTTGCCAAGAAAACTCTGTGATAGGGCTGTCATAAGTCGGAAATAACATGAAGGCACATAACAACGAAAATATAAATTTCAGAGAGTGTCAGCAATTCACTGAATTTTCCCAAATCTTTTATAATTCCAATGTAATCAGTGGGTAATGTTTTGTCTTTTTTGTTTTGTTTACAAAAATCTTAAATATGAAGGAACCGATGAGAATGTCATTTTGCAAAATTCGCTCTTGTTCCAGACCAGAGAAATAGCTTCTTATTCAGTGTCCAATGATCATAGCACCACATACAATCTGTTTTGCTATATTCTGTAGCATCCTTGATGTTTGTGGGAAACAGGTTCAAAAATTGAGACAAGTAACTTTGATTAATAATTTGCTGTACCAGTCAGTATAAGACTGTCCCAAAGAACACCACAGTGCAATTTGTATTCCTTTTCGTTTATTAGAATATGTGTGGATGATCCTTTCTTAGGTCCAGTGTTCATTCTTTACCAGTATAAAATAGAAATGGATTTAGTAGGGAATCTTGATGTCTCCCATCCAAAGGATGAGAAAATCTTCAAAAAACGACAAAGTGAGATTAATACCATCTCTGCCCCCTGGTCAAAATCTCCCAGGCCACACTAATTTGCCAGTTCAGCCCATGTACAAATGAGGCTACTTTGGAGATGCTGAGCCAACCATTCAGCTCAGTAAGTCTCAAACAGATCTTGCAGCTGCTACCACACCCGAGTGCCAAAGGTTCTTTTCCCACTATTGGCATTGATCTTTAAAGAATCCAGCAAGCTTTTAATTCTTTCGCTGGCTGGTCCCCTCTTTCTTTTTGTACCTTTCCCAGCATGACTGAGTCCTGAGGTTCGAAGAAGAGCTGCCAGTCCCCAGGGCTGAGAATGGCTGGAGGAAGGACCTTTCCCTTCCTGTTGGAGAAGCCAGGCACTCTCTCTGGCCAAGCTAACAAACCTTTCAAGCTGCGTGGCATTTACATTCTTGCTGATATTAAGGCTCTGTTCAAAGGGATTCTGTATATGGAGGGCAGACGCTTCTGGCTTGTTTTGCTCCTTGCCCTGCAAATTTTAAAGGAGAAATGATAGAATCATTGAACACATGGGCTATACATAGTTAACCAGCACAGGAAGACACAGATGTGGAAGGTCTACCACAGAGCTTGGGAAACTGACTTGGGGAGAAAGGGGTGCATACCACTTTCAGCTGATGATCCTGGGGGTTGTAATTCCTACAACATTTTACTTATGCCAACATTCAGCAGAAATCCCTGAGATTGTGATGCATCTATGGTGAGCTGCAAGCCAGATTGATTGTTGAGGGTGGTGGAGGGAACAGGTCTAGGGAATGACCTGACTGCAAAGGGCAGAAGTTACAAGTAGTACAGGAACAGTAAGGCAACAATTTTCAAAAACAAACATACTGAATGTCTTCAATTGTAAGACATCATTGATTGTAAGACACACCCTAATTTCAGTACCACCACCAACAAAAATACATAAGATACACCTGTGATTCTAAGATGCACCCCATTTTCAGAGATTTTTATTTAAGAAAAAGGTGTGTTTTAGAATTGAAGAAATACAGTGCATGGCAAGGCAGGCGTTGGCTCAGTTTTTACCCATGTCAACTGACAAAAGTATTCACCTTCTGTCTCAGATGATCAACTGAAGAGCCTCAGATGTTGCTGGGTAGCAACTCTCATCAACTCGAGGAAACACAGCTAGCAATGAGGGATTATGGGAGCTGGGATGTAATAAAAATTGCCCACCTCTGTTTTAATAGCCAATTTATCTTAGACCTCCTGACCTAGGGATCTAGAAACAGAAAGCAAGGAAACAGAAAGCTTTGGAAGCTTTGGCCCAAGAGCAGCAATTTTTAACTTAAGGAGGAGCACAGATCCATTTAAAAATCTGATCAAGGCTATGGATCCCTTCCCCAGAAAAGTAACCCTAAACACAGTTGTAAGGAACAAGACCTAACATAAATGATTTTTGAGTGTTTTACAGATCCTCTGAAGCCATGGATCTCTTGACTACGGGTTAAGAACTGCTAACTAAAGGAGACTGTCAGCAGTTGCCAATCAACAATCGACAAAGCAAGTAGGATTAAAAGACTATCCTTTCACAAGTACTTACAAGTGACACAATGCACCCAAATGCACTCAGCAAACCACCAATTTAATTTATTAGATGCCACTCCAACTGAAACAACATTTCATCAAATAATAGGAATAGCAATAGGAGGTTCTTGCCCAAAGCAGGCAATTACATATGCCAAGTATATCCAAGAAAGAGCTTTGAAAATAGCTGGTAAGAAAGACTTAATGGAGAGAAAGAAGAAGAGGCAGTATCTACTGGGCTTAATCCCCTCCCACACAGCCATTCCCATTTTCCTTTTATATCATGCCTTAATTAGATTGTAAGCCTGAGACTTTTGTTGTTTGTACATGATGTTTTAGGTGGAGAGCACCATGTGATGGTGCTATATAAATGAATAATAAGAAGAAATAATGAAGGAAAAAACAATTTAGTATTTTTACCTTTCGGATATTTAGCGAATGCTTATTGAAAGCAAAATTTCCAAAATATTCAAAGAAATCACCCAGTAGCACATCTGAAAGACAAGAAGATAACAGTGTTAGGGAGGCAGAAACTTACATGCCTTCAGGAGAAAATGTTTACAATAGGCCTTCTTACCCAATGTTTCTGTGTTTTCTGTGGGCTTGATTTTGTTCAAGTTACTAACAAAAGTACAGTCATAACCTTCAACTATGTGCTTGTCTTCTGCATGTAAAAAAACAAAACAATGTTGATTTGAACCACTGAATCGACATGTCTATAAACACAATAGAATTGTAAAAGTGTCAAGTAATGAAATTATCTGCATCACTGTTTCTTGTAAAGTTGATTCAGATGATATAGAAGCAAGTTATAATCCAAAAACTAAATTAAGAAAATAACAATACTGTAGAAACCATTTGATATTAGAAAATAGGGACACAATGAAATGGCAATGATATCTGCTTGGGTTTTTATATTCCATGGCAAACCCTTATTGAACAATTCTTGTAAAAAAATGATAGGGTCACCATTAGTCAAAAAGAACTGACTGTCACACAGCAACAGCTTTGGATATGATGTTTTATAATGATTGCTATGGCTTTTCTACTAGCTGAGTATGTGCTTAAAAAGAAATCAAGGCAGTAGTAGACAGAAGCAAGAAGAGAAAGATCCTGGTGTCTCCGTTTTTATTGCCCTTGATGCAAGACATCGCACAGGCCTTGGGAGAGGGATCCTTTAGAACAGGCTCTCACCAAGTCTCACCAAGGTTAAGATGATTTCAAAAACCAAGTTTCACATGCCCTTGATAATAGCAGATAGCATTATTATCCCAATATTTCAAATGGACAACTGAAGCAAGGAAAGCTTCCATGAGGACCCCTGATAAACTCAAACCAAAGACAAGTACATGGAGAATATAGAATTAAAGCAAGAAAACAATTAACTGCAGAGGGTTTTGCTTCCAGTGGTTTTCTTATTTACAGTTAATGGAGAGATTCAGACAAGACAAGCAGTCAGTTGGTTCTGAAATAAGCAAATCGAAATTTGAATTACAATTATGTACGAACGATGAACATTTAATTGCTAAAATGTATGAAATGTTATTAAAATGGGAAATGGCAGATGAGCAAGTTAAAGAATGCATGATAAAGTGGGTACAAAATATGGGGCACAATATGTTGGAACAATGGGAAAAAATGTGGAATAAAGGGTTAGAATTCACGTTATGTTGTAATTGAAAGATAATTTCTATAAAATGTTGTACCAGTGGTATATGACACCTGAAAAGCTCTCTAAAAGGTAAAGGTAAAGGTTTCCCCTGACATTAAAGCCCTAAACGGTTCTGGCCCTACTTACCTCCCCAAACGCATCTCCTCCTATGAACCAATTAGGACATTAAGATCATCTGGGGAGGCCCTGCTCTCAGTCCCGCCTGCATCACAGGCGCGCCTGGCGGGAACGAGAGACAGGGCCTTCTCAGTGGTGGTCCCTTGGCTGTGGAACGCCCTTTCTATAGATATCAGATCAGCCCCATCCCTATTGGCATTTCGGAGGAAAGTGAAGACCTGGCTGTTCGAACAAGCATTCGATTAAGCAGTGTAATGAATATAGAAACACGGATTAACGGATGATGAGACTGGATTCTGATTTTACTGATGAGACGCTAATGATTGTTATATTGATGTTTAATTGTTGATGATGCTATTGTTTTAACTGCCCCATAATCGTTTTATGATGTTTTGCATTGAATTTTGCTGTTATTAACCGCTTTGAGTCACCTGAGGGCTGAGAAAAACGGTATATAAATGAAGTACATTAAATTAAATTAAATTAAATTAAGTCTACTCGTGTCTGTTTCTGGGGTGGTGGTGTTCATCTCCATTTCTAATCCAAAGAGCCAGTGTGGACATGTAAACGTTCCAAAAATATTCGATTCAAATGCACACAATGATCCAGGAAAATTTTAGGGGAAAGCATCCAGCTAAAACTGGAGACTTTTCTACTTAGTCTGAAAGATAAAAATAACTAGGCAAAATATGACCACAGCAGCCAGACTACTTTACACACAGAAATGGAAGAGTACAATACTAACAACAGAGGAATGGATAATAAAAATGATGGACTTGGCTGAAATGGACAAATTAACATGCCTACTAAAAGAAGGGATATTGAATGCTTTTTTAAAAGACTGGAAACCTTTTATTCTCTTTTGCATGAAGAAGAGAAGGGCTTGCCAATTCTGAGTTTTGAAGAATAAATTAAAGTTTTTTATTGATGTTGTTATGAGAAAAGAGTGAGTAAAGAGAGGTCTAGAAAGCTAATATGATATTAGCTTTCTTTGTGAATAGATCGGGATAGACCAGTGGTCACCTATCTTTCCCACTTTTTCCCTCCCTATTTTTCCTTCTTTTTTTTTTTTAAAGAGAAGGGTGTATATAAAGAAAGGGTGCAGATAAAAGCAATGTTACATGGAAATGAAGTGTGTGTATATATATAAGCACCAATGGAAACTAAGTGTAAGCCAGATATTGTAAAGTTGAAACAATAAAAATATTGTTTAAAAAACCATAGACAAGTAGCCAAACATTTAACATAAAGTAGGATAAGCTCTGAACACCCACTAGTCCATGCGCACAAATTAATCCAGGTCTCTCTTACCAGCTAGCCCCTTTAGTTGATCTAAGGTTGGAACAATAGGGGGCTGTCTTTTTTGTAGAAAAAACAAAACCATTGTTGTCAGAGCAAAATTGGTAATCCATGGGCCAGGTATGCTACTTGTGATACCATGAGTCCGTGCCCAGCACCGCACTCCAAACACAAGGGCTCTGACACGTGGGTCAAGGCTGCCATAGATATAGAGAAGTTCCGTGCTTCTCATGGCAATTCTGTTAGAGTAGAAGAAAGTCTGTTAGAGTAGAAGAAAGTCCAAGGTACAGGAGATTGACTATAACACCCTACAATAAAATAGACACCAGAACACTTTACAATAATCTGTAAGGTCGCCATCTGAACATATTAAAATCTTGCCTCTAAATAAGAGACAGACAATTCAAAAAGAGTTACAGATTCATTTTATGTAAGCATGGAAATTACTAGTATCTCTTTAAAAAGCAACTTCTCATGGTTCAGATAACCACACCCACACAAACCCACTCACTCTCAAATTGTCTCTCATATAAACTCACTTTCATATATCCAGACAGCATTTTTAATCTGACAGAGACATGATATCTTCTATGAATTGTTCGCAACAAGCTTATGTGAAAAGACTTTAGGGTCAGGCAGGCCTACCGCAAAAACAAGGCCCATTTGTTAGGAATCTTGCTAGAAGCCAAACAAGGAAAAAGCACAAAAAGCGAGTCATGCTCTCACGCCTACAGCTGCCCCTTCAAGTCAAAATAATGAGGAACAAGGCAGCAAAGGGCATTTTTTGTGGGCGAGGCTGGTTTCATAAATCAATCTCAGGACTTGGTTCTGGGGCAGTTGGTGCAACTTTGCAACATGTTTCTCTCTATTTTAAAAGAAATATTCATAATTATGGAGTTTGTTTCCAAAAGGTATCAAATCCCAAAAAATTGAAAAATGGGTTGTGTGAGTTTTCCAGGCTGTGTGGCCATGTTCCAGAAACATTATCTCCTGACGTTTCACCCACATCTATGGCAGGCTTCCTCAGAGGAAGTGGGGTTTGTTGGAGACTAAGCAAGTGGGGTTTCTATATCTGTGGAATATCCAGGGTGAGAGAAAGAAGTCTGTTTGAGGAAAGCGTGAATGTTGCAATTTATCACCTTGATTAGCATTGAATAGCCTTATGGCTTCATAGCTTGGCTGCTTCCTGCCTGGAGGAATTCTTTATTGGGAGGTGGTTAGCTGGCCTTGATTGCTTCTTGTCTGGCATTCCCATTTTTGAGTGTTATTATTTATTTACTGTCCTGTTTTTAGAGTTTTAAATACTGGTAAACTTCTGAGGATGCCTGCCATAGATGTGAGTGAAACATTAAGAGAGAATGCTTCTGGAACATGGCCATACAGCCCGGAAAACTTACAGCAACCCAGTGATTCCAGCCATGAAAACCTTCAACAACACAACAAACTGAAAAATGGGTTAAAGGTGGCAGCATATTGTTAGCAAGGAGTAAAATAATATGCAGATATCAAATCACTTTGGTACATGGCTTGGGAAACTGCATTTTACAGCAAAAGAATGCAAATCCTCACCATGTTTTTGCTGATTCATATAAAATTTGTTCAGATGGATTTGATACCTTTTGGAAACAAACTCCACATATGCATAACCAATACAGAGCTACACATTTCTCAAAATATTTTGATATATTGGAAACACAACAAAAGGTTGCAATGTGGAATACTCCCATTCTGTGTTTCTCTCAACCTGCCATGTCCCAGCCTTTTGTATTCCTTAGCCATGTAAGCATTCATTGCACAGGTCATCCTTATTCAGATGCAATTGTTAGGATCTGTGCGCCCCCTACTGCCCACTCCAACAAAAGCCCTTAATATTTCAGCTCTGGCTGAACTGTATATATAAATGGAATGAACAGCAAATAATTCATTAAGGGTGTGCTATGATGATTTTAACACAATAGATCAAAGTGGCGTAATTGAAGAGGGTTAGCACATTCAAATACTAGGCCTGTCGGTTTTGATTCGTTTTTTAGTTATTTCGTTATTAATTCGTTATTTTTGCATTTTTGAAGCAATATCAAAACACATTTTCAAACCCGGAAGGGTTTAAAAATATCGAACCGGCAGCCCCCATAAATTTAACGAGCTTCCGCTCGTTTCGTTAATGGGATGGAGGCTGCTGGAGTGTGGTGCCATTCCCCTCTTTCTCGGCCTGGGCTGCTCTCCCCGCCCTCTTTCCCCTCTCCCCGTTTTTCAACACTCCTCCTCCTCCACATGCGGCTGCATAGTGAGTGAAGTACTGTATTATAATAGCGCTGCATCAGGGGCGGCTGAAGCAACTTACGTGCCAAATCCCTGGCTGTGGGCTGCTTGCCTTGCTTGCTCGCTTCTCCAAGCGGGCGAAAGGAGAGGGAGAGAGAAAAACAGTGTGCTGCTGCCTGTCTCTTTAAGGAAGGAGCACATGGAGCCCTCGGCTGCCCTCCCTCCCTCCGCCAAACGGGCAGCCGAGGACTCCATGTGCTCCTTCCTTAAAGAGACAGGCAGCAGCACACTGTTTTTCTCTCTCCCTCTCCTTTCGCCCGCTTGGAGAAGCGAGCAAGCAAGCCAAGCAGCCCACAGCCAGGGATTTGGCACGTAAGTTGCTTCAGCCGCCCCTGATGCAGCGCTATTATAATACAGTACTTCACTCACTATGCAGCCGCATGTGGAGGAGGTTCCAGAAGCATTCACTCCTGACGTTTCGCCTGCATCTATGGCAGCCATCCTCAGAGGTTGTGGTTTGTTGGAAGCTAGGAAAATGGGGTTTATTTATCCCTGTGAAATAACGTCCAGGGTGGGAGAAAGAACCCTTGTCTGTTTGAGGCAATTGTGAATGCTGCCATTGGCCACCTTGATTAGCATTGAATGGCCTCGCAGCTTCAAAGCCTGGCTGTAGAAGGTCCAGGGTGGGAGAAAGAACTCTTGTCTGTTGGAGGCAAGTGTGAATGTTGCCATTGGACAGCTTGATTGGGATTAAATGGCCCTGTAGCTTCAAAGTCTGGCTCCTTCCTGCTCAGGGGAATCCTTTGTTGGGAGGTGTTAGCTGGGTCTGACTCAAACCCGCTATGTCTGTATAGTAGGCCTGTGCGGTTTCGTTTTCCATTTTAAAATATTTTTTAATATTATTTTTTAATATTATTTTTAATATTATTTTTTAATATTATTTTAATATTATTCCTGCTCAGGGGAATCCTTTGTTGGGAGGTGTTAGCTGGGTCTGACTCAAACCCGCTATGTCTGTATAGTAGGCCTGTGCGGTTTCGTTTTCCATTTTAAAATATTTTTTAATATTATTTTTTAATATTATTTTTAATATTATTTTTTAATATTATTTTAATATTATTCCTGCTCAGGGGAATCCTTTGTTGGGAGGTGTTAGCTGGGTCTGACTCAAACCCTATGTCTGTATAGTAGGCCTGTGCGGTTTCGTTTTCCATTTTAAAATATTTTTTAATATTATTTTTAATATTATTTTTTAATATTATTTTAATATTATTCCTGCTCAGGGGAATCCTTTGTTGGGAGGTGTTAGCTGGGTCTGACTCAAACCCGCTATGTCTGGCCTGTGCGGTTTCGTTTTCCATTTTAAAATATTTTTTAATATTATTTTTTAATATTATTTTTAATATTATTTTTTAATATTATTTTAATATTATTCCTTCTCAGGGGAATCCTTTGTTGGGAGGTGTTAGCTGGGTCTGACTCAAACCCGCTATGTCTGGCCTGTGCGGTTTCGTTTTCCATTTTAAAATATTTTTTAATATTATTTTTAATATTATTTTTAATATTATTTTTAATATTATTTTTTATTATTTTTTATTATTTTTTAATATTATTTTAATATTATTCTTAAATAATACAAAAAAATATTCTAAAAATTCGTTAATAATTACAAAATTTCGTAAATACCAAAACTTTTTTTGGAAAAGTTTTGTAATTATTTTAAATATCGAAACAAAAAAACACCCCAATTACAAAACGATTTTAGAAACAAATTTTTTCTTGATCAAACAGGCCTATCAAATACTGCTGAGCAGAAAATTATTGTTCGTTGTCCGTAAATGATTGCTTCCATTGCTCAATTATCCACTTGGATTATATGTTTCAACATGAAGTCTGCCTCGATTCATGTAAACTGGATCCACAGACTTGCAAAAGGAAGCTTGGAAAAGGGACAATCTTAGTGTTTTGGAGACTTAGTAGGAAAGAGACTAGGCCTGCAGGATTCTTGGTTTTTTCTTTCTTTAAAATTAAAAGCCAAAGGACTAAAAAGCAAGTTTAACACTTTGCAGAAAAGCAGAAAACGGAAGGGATCATACAAAATAATGGTTCTAGAGCAGTGATACCCAACTTTTTTTGACCAGGGAGAACTTTCCAACTTTAGTACCAAAGGGGTTATGAATCAGTTTTGGGTCAACTTTAGATTTGGTTTGTTTATTTGGGGTGCTGATTCAGAAAGTTGCATTGACTAGATCACATCAGCTTTAGTTTCTGATAAAAAACATATGCCATTCAGTAGTCGCCATCTGCTCGCCCAAAGAAAACCATATTTAATAAGCTTCGGCACTATAAGAGGGTTTCGTGAAACCTGTCGCTCTCGTTGCAACTGTACAAAACCAAATCCATATTGGAGTAACTACAGATTAAAGATTCTAGCATCTATGGTGATGATGGGGTGAGTGCAGGAAAACAATGTATACTCCATGTGTACTGCTGCTCTGGATATGCTTATCCAATCCCACCGTGACCAGGAAGATGTGATGAAATGGAAGGGAGTAGAGCAGAGGAACAGTATTGGGCTTGGAAGATCTCCAGTCTCCAAATCAGCTGTGAAATTTAAATTGGATAGCCCTGATTATCACCTTTCAGCCTTACTAATATCAGAGGGCTGAGTTTCTTGTAAAAAGAAAAAGGACCTAAAGATGATTTTTAAAACCACTAAAAACTTACCGATTGTTAGCTGTTAAGTCACACTGAAATCCTGATGGCTGATGGGAAAATTTCACCAACGGGCAGCGAGCATTAAGTATTTTTTGCACGCTAACACACCCAGGACCAAAGTTATCAATAAATTCACCAATCACAGACAGGATCCTCTGTGTTGCTACTCGCTGAGAAGGGACTCTCTTCATTTGATACTCAATATTGAAAGGACCTGTTTTCTAACACAAAAGAGACAGACATAAGTCACAAATTTAAGAGTAAGACAAACCGTAATTCCAATTCAATGTTGGATGAGGGCATGGATTTACTTATTAAGGTATAAACCTATTCAATCCAGGCAAATCTGGACTCAAAATATATTTTATGTGTTACATTTATAACCTATTTTCCCTTCAATTACCTTGAGTTCAAATCACTATTCCTCTTTGTACCCTATACCCTGTGCAGTAGGTCAGGTTGAAAGAGTTACTTACCAGTAATCAGAGCAGTTCAAGATCATTTTATTAGAATTAGCTTACACTATAATTTAACTCCCTCCCAAATGAAATCAGATCAGCTCCCTCTCTCCTGATATTCAGGAAAAAACTTAAGACATGGGTTTGGGACCAAGATTTGGACCAATAATTGGAGCAGTGCAATAAGTGACCATGAATTAATGTGACTGACAAATGGAACAGCCCTGGTTTATGATTTGGATGGCATGATTTTAATTGATATTTTAATAACTGATGTTTTGACTGTTTGGTTTTAATTGTAATTGTTTATTTTATGGACATATGTGTGTATTATCATCAAATTGCTGACTGTTGTAAGGCCACCTTGAGTCCCCTTTGGGGTGAGGGGTAAAATGTAGTAAATAAATAAATATCCGTTTCGCTGCATCAACATACTTATAAGTCTCTTGCTAATTTCCATAACTCTTTACTGAACTTCTAAATGCAGTGTATTTGTGAGTCATAAACCTTCCATTTGTATAATAGTTCAACCTTCCCAAACCTGACATTCTCCTGATCATTTGGACTACAACTTTCATCCTTCAGCCTGAAAGCTGAAGATGATGGAATAGTAGCTTACACATTCTAGTAGCAAATTTCTAGATTGTACTAACAAATTTCCCCTTGCCTGTGATAATTACATAATTACTGTTGTACTTTTAGACATGAGGGATCTGTGTAGTATCCTAGTACTTTCTCAAGGAAGGATTATATATTGAGCATAGTTGCCAGACAATGAAGAATATCCTTCTTCTTAGCAAGAAAATGCCAATTGTGAGTCATTTGAGGGGACGAGGCTAAGCTTGGAAAAATCAGGGAGTACATCTCTCTGTTTCAGGTTCCTACAACCAATCTTTTTAAAAAGTATCTTTCAGAGATACTGCATTCACTCTAGATGTGTACTATACACCCCCTCCCACGGACAGACATCTCTCAAATGGGAATGAATAGTGTTACAAAACCATTAAGTTTGGGCTTAGACCTAAAGGTGGCTGCTGCTGATACAGTACATTGGCTGTCCACCTCTGCAGGCTTCACATTTGTGAATCTGATTATTTGCTGCTGCCTACACCATTTTAAATAGGGGCTGCAAGCTTTTGTGAGACTGAAAGCAATCCACAAATGCATATAGGGCTTCTAAAATGATATTGGACAGCAACAGAGAAACTGGGGGGAGGGGGGGGAGAGAAAAGACTCAGAGAACTTTGGGCACCTGGAAGCAAGTAATCAAGCAGACTGTGCCCCCAACCCCAATGAAAGTCAAGAGCTGTCCATATTACAAATACATGGACTAAATCATATATGAAAATGTCAAGTGTCCTAGAGGAAGAAGAAAAGAAAGTGTTGGATTTGCTTTTATTCATGGAACCAAGATATCAGCCTGCACTGCCATGATGTTGCTGTGAATAACGGGTATGCAAGCACATAAAGGGTTAAACCCAATGTCCACAAAATGATAAGTGAATTAAGCAACTATTATCCAGGTGGCTACAAAATGATGTATGTTTTCTCTAAACAATCAGACAATCTTCTCTTAAAAGGCAATGTACGCAAATTGTGGTATTGTGATTGGCATTTCTATCTTCTCACGGTAATTAAACAAATGCTGCAGCATGAAGCACAAAAGAGCCCAACATAAGAACATTTCCTTCCGTGATGCAATTTTAGGTCTGTGTTGACCAATGCAGTCTGGTTAGTCAAGTAAACAGAGGTTGTATGACAGAAGCCATTTCCTCTTCACAGTTGGGAAAACCCAGACTTTCACCAGCAGGTTATCACTGAGCCTTAATGCGGATCTCTTGACCAAATATGCTGAGTATTTACATCACGAGACTACTTTCTCAGAAACAGTTTTTTAAAAATTAAATCTATTTACCAGCCTAATGTTTATATTATATTCTTTTCCACTTTGTCTCAACCACAGTGACATAAGGTAGGCTAAAACCTGGTTTTAAATCTGGGTCTTCTCGTAATCTAACCATGCAACAAACCTCGTTAGAATTCAGAGGCTTGGATTCCCATTCCACCTTCAATATATGCATTTTATAGCATGGATAAAAACACAGCCTAGCAGAAGATGCCATTAAGAGAAAAACTTTACCCTTCTAGTGCTATTCTTCCCAGTATCATCCAAGTCCAGAAACATGTCTAAGTCACATCCCAGTTTACCGAAGGTGTTCACAGATGAGCCAAAAGGCTTCACATTGCAATCTGGAAAATAAGCCCCAGCAATGTCTTGAATTAAAGAACAGGCCAAAAATCGGAGTTTAGTGTTTTCTTCTGTCAACTGGTATTTCTCCATAAGCATTTGCAACTGGGCACTCACCTGGATAAAAAAAGAGAAAAGGGGGGGGGGAGGAGTAGTTTTAAATGATGAGCATCTAATATAAGAAGCTGTTTTTCAGCATCCTCAGTTACAAAACCCATCCTTAAAAGACCTTATATAAGCTGACTGAAAGACATATCCTCTCTGTTTGCACGGAATACCCTGGATACTGATTGATTTGATTTAAAAAAAAAATACAGATCACTTCTAGACAATGTTGCTTCCACATACTGTCTTTAAAAAAAATCTATTGGGATTCTATGATTCTATGGAGGTGAGTAGGCAACCAATGCAGATGATGCAAATGTATCAACCCTATTAGCATATAAACTGAGGAGTTCTGCACCAGCTAAAGCAGTGGTTCCCAATCTTTGGTCCTCCAAGTATTTTGGACTTCAGCTCCCACGATTCCTAACAGCTGGTTGGAATTTCTGGAAGATGAAATCCAAAACAACTGGAGGACAAAAGTTTGGGAATCACTGAAGTGCCTCCTATGTTTTTAGATCTACAGTGCTAGAAATGCAAGGGGATGATTATCATGATTTTGTTGCTCACTCTACTTTTACCTTGTTTTGAATGGTAAAGTGTTAATCACTTTGATAGCTTTTTAAGAAGAAAAGTGAGGGAAAATGTAACAAATGAAAATGAAAATATCAGTAAATATCAGCAAGAACAAAATGTTCTGTTAAAAAATTCGTTTGATGTGAATCCCGCAATTCCCAAATGTTTTGTATTAAAGTCATTAAAGCATAAGACATGAATATGCTCTCTATGGTGAGGATCGCCTAGGCTTCTGGGAAGTAAAGCTTTTCTTCCCAATTCTTCAGATGCAAAGTTCCAAACAGAAGCTTCCAGCAAATTTTGGGAATCCTACAGTTACTCAGCTCCTAGTTCAGAAAAAAAGGAGTGTTCAATTCGTACATAGGGATTATGAAAAAAATTAAACATGCACTTACACTGTCAGCATCACAAAGTTTATTCACCAGCTCTCCAACTGGAATGGTGGTCTGTTTATGGAGGTGAATTGATTCGGAAGCTTGGCTTGGTGGATTTTTCAATGTTAAGGTAAAAATTCTAGATTTAAATGGAATAGGGCAGTCATCCTCAAACTGGGGCATACCAGTGGCATCCTGCAATGAAGCTATACTCTCCAACTCAGAAAATTCTATGACTGCATATATACCCTGAAACAATACAGAGAAGGAATAAAATAGATGGCACTGATAACAGGTTATATCTCAAAATAAGTGAGATAATAGGTTTTTAAAAAGAAAATAGCTATGATATGCAGAAAGAGCTAGTAATCGCCACAATCACATTTGTTTTGAAAAAGGACAAAGAAGCATCCATAATACAGATTCACAATAATTCTGCTAATACAGGAGAGGCTAAGAAACAGGTATAATCTAGTGAATTTCATGGCTGAATAGGGTTTCCCCCCAAATATCCCTGGTTCAAAATTATACCTTACATTAAACTAGCTCCAATCTTTGCAGGTTGTCTTGGTGTGTTCATTACTTGAATACCTAAATTAACTCATTTTCTAAGACAAAACCAGCTGGTGGCATACATCCAAAGTAGCTAAAGTGATGAATTTAGACCCAGTTGCACATAGAACAGACATACAGAAAAATTTAATATTTTGAAACTAGAATCCAATCCACTCTATGCATAAAAAATATATCACCTATGAAATCTGCCTTGGAAATCTTTTAAAAGATTGAAAGGCAATGCAAAATTATCCTAAATAACAGCTTCCTTACACAATGGCATATTTATCTAGGTAAGATAAAGCAAATAAAATTACCTTTGAAAATTAAAAGAGAAAATTTCACCATAATCTAAAAACACCTTTAGTCTGAATCTTCTTTCCTACAACATGAACTCACCATCCACAATAATTCCATGAAATATCAATCCCCTGGATGCTGTTGGGTTACAACAACATGCATTCCTAACCACTGGCTATGCCGATTATGGTTACTGGGATATGTAGTCCAATGGCAACAGGAGGGTTAATTTATCGAACTCATCAAATGGATACTGCACGGAAAAAGTAGACTGTATACACTTCTTCTCTTTGGTCAAGTAATATTGCTCACCTCTATGGTTTCTACAGGAACAAAGTAAAACTAAAAGTCTACAAAGCCACGTGTAAACTAGACACTGTACTTTTCAGTGAAAAGAATGAGTTAAGGCATATCTGCTAATGGAATTGTGGTAATATACACGGACAACAAAAATGGATTGGTTTTATACTGAGAAAGTGGAAGGATTATATGTCATGTTTAAGGCATCAGGCTGAGATTTATTATTATATTTCATACAGTATATGCTTCAGTTTAAATGCCATAACAATAAAATATTTTGCATCAGAGTAGCTTTAGATATCATAATAACAAGACAACTTCACAGTTTACTGATTCATCTATATAAATAAATGGGTTTTTTAAGGATAGGAGACTTAACAGCTATGACAGGTAAACAGCTACATATATCTAGTTTTAATTAAACACTTCTCAGCAAAACGTGAAATTAAAAAAAGGAAAAAATACCCAACCATATTGCTAGAATAGCATGATAAAGCCAAAGATCATTATGTTTTTAATTTGTGTTATTTACACATAATGGTGGGTTAGATTTTAGTAACTAATGCTTCAAATACTTACATGAGTTTCATAGAAAAAGTGATTCTTAATATTTCCATGAGATGACAAGTATTTAAGAAGTTTTTTCTCACTGATTTTAGAAGGACAGTTAATTAAGACTGTCCGGTGGGCTTGTTCTTTTCTTTCTGCTAGGACTTCACTGAACGTCTTCTTTCTGGTGCCAATTTCAGCATCTAGAAGGCAGGAAAACAAAGACTTTGGAAAACTCGGTTATATGAGAAGCGTTTTCTAAACTGACAACAGCATATCAACTGTTATTTTTAAGTGTTTTAATTGTTTTTAATGTCCCAAAAAAGAATGAAATGAATTTCCTGGAAACCTGAAGAACAACTAGAAATTCACCACTCTAACATACCCTTTTTAACCTTTAAACAAATACATTTTTTCTCTCAAACCCAAAGGGAAATGCCGATTACTTTTGATTTGAGTTTTGTCCCCTTCTCACCTTCTTGCAATACATGGAGCTTAGGAAGTGGATAGGGTTTCCCGAGGCAGAAAAGAAACCCTATGCACTTAGCTCCCTGTTACAGATTAATACAGGTAATCACGAAGTTACGAACATCCGATTTACAAATGACTCATAGTTACAAACAGGGCTGAGACAACACGAAGTGAGAGAAATCTACCCCTTGGATTGGAAATTCACCCCTGTAAGGTTTATCATGGGAAAAGGGGGTCCCCACTGAAGCTTTATCACCAATCCTTGATTCCAAAACAAGTCATTTTTTTCTCATCACTTGGGGACTGTCTGTACTATAAACATACCATCTTGCATACTGCAATCACAGATCTGCGATTAAAAATAATATATTTTAATGTATTTTTGGGCGCTGATTTCTTTTTTTTAAAAAAACAACCAAAATGTCATCCTGCACAGTTTATCCGCAACAGTAATTACTAATTTCAATAAAAATCCCACTCTGTCACATATTCCAAACTAAAAACATCAAAGGTCCTTTCCACACATTTGAATAAAATCCCACATTTTCTGCATTGAACTGGAATATAAAACAGTGTGGACTTGGCTAACCCAGTTCAAAGCAGGTATTGTGGGATTTTCTGCCTTGATATTTAGGGTTATATGGTTGTATGGAAGGGCCCGAAGAAAGGAGAAATTACCTTGTCAAATCAAATCCGAGGCTACTGACTTGGATTTAGAACCCAAAATAACTATACAAGCCCACATAATTTCCTTTTTAAAGTCATCATGACCCTCAATAGCTAGTCTGAGGCCCCATCTACAGTTCCTTCCATACAGGCTCTTTATCCCAGTATCTGATCTCAGGTTTTCTGTTAATCCCAGATTATCTGGCAGTACGGACTCATATAATCCAGTTTAAAGGAAAAAACTTGGGATCAGATCCTGGGGTATAGGGCCTGTCCGGAAGAGCCCTACACTGCCATATATAATCCAGATTATCTGCTTTGAGCTCGATTATATGGAAGAGTAGACTGCTATAATCCAACTCCCTTCCACACAGCTGAATAAAATCCCTCATTATCTGCTTTCAACTGATATATATGGCAGTGTGGACACAGATATTCCAGTTCAAAGCAGATATAGTTGTTTATACGAGCCCCTGGTGATACAATGGGTTAAACCTTTGTGCCTGAACAACTGAATGGGTTAAACCTTTGTGCCTGAACGACAGGTCAGAGATTCGAATCTGGGGAAAGTGCAGATGAGCTCCCTGTCAGCTCCAACTCCCCATGCGGGGACATGAGAGAAGCCTCCCACAAGGACGGTAAAACATCAAAACATCTGGACGTCCTGTGGGCATTGTCCTTGCAGACGGCCAATTCTCTTACACCAGAACCGGCCTGAAGTTTCTCAAGTCGCTCCTGACACACACAAAAAAGTGGGTTATTCTGCCTTGATATTTATTTACTTATTTACTGTATTCGTATACCGTTCTTCTTGGTCCTCAGGCGACTCAGGGCGGTTTACAATGGCAAAGATTTGAGGCCCAAAAACACCATAAAACATTTTAAAACATTAACACATAATATAAAACCATAACAAGAATGTTAAAACATAGATTATTTGTGTCTCTTAATAAAAAAACATTGTCCCATCTCATTGTCCAGCCATTCCAATTCCTATGTCTTTTACCTTGCATTTTCAAATGCTCGCTCAAACAACCAAATATTGACTCTTTTCCAGAATGTTAAGAGGGAGGGGGCCTTTCTAATGTCCCCAAGAAGGGCGTTCCATAGCTGAGGGGCCACCACTGAGAAGGCCCTGTCTCTCGTCCCCACCAAACGTGTTTGTGACGCAGGCGGGATTGAGAGCAGGGCCTCCCCGGACAATCTTAATGTCTTAACAGGTTCACAAGGAAAGATGCGTTCAGACAGGAAAGTTGGGCCACAACCGTTCTGGGTTATAGGGCAGTGTGGAAGGGGCCTGAGTCTCTCGTGAGCTAGAAAAGGCAATGATGTAAATACAAATTATCACCATCACTAAATTGAATCGCATACTGCAACATAAAACCATCAGAGTTGGGAGGGGGGGCACGTGAGGTAGCAAACATGAAAGTAGACCAGGCATGAGCAAACTTGGGCCCTCTCTCCGGGTGTTTTGGACTTCAACTCCCACCATTCTGAACAGCCTCAGGCCCCTTCCTCCCCCCCCCCCCCCCCCCCCCCCCTCAGCCGCTTAGCGGCTAAGGAGGAAAAGGAAGGGGTCTAAGGCTGTTTGGAATGAAGGGAGTTGAAGTCCAAAACACCCGGAGAGAGGGCCCAAGTTTGCCCAGACCTGATGCAGACACTGAAGCGTCTAAAACCCAGCCTAATTATTTTAATCCTTTACGACCTCTCAATTTGATAGGCCTCTGTATAACTCTTAGGGTTAAATCTCCCCTCATACCGGAGGGAGCCTCGCCGCTCAAAGCCGGCTTCTCCTTCAGAACGGCGGCCGCCTCCGTGGAGTGGCCCCGCAGCTCCGCGACCCGACGGGAAAAGCAGAAGCCTTGGCAGAAGCGAGGCAAAGGGAGCCGCACGATGGGGGCCGCCATGACTGCAGCGCCGTGCGCCTGCGCTGTGGTGACGTCGCCGCGCGGGACGGCGCGACGTAAGGGACAGCATTCCTCAGCTCCTCCAGACCAAACCGCAAGCGCGCTTTCTCATTGAATGAGTGCATGACTGGCGTGGAGTGATGAGGCGCAGGAATACTGTTTCCTGGTTCCCACGAAGAGAAGGCGCAGTGATGGACTCCCTGCTGAGGAAGCTGCGGAATGAAGGCACTCTGGCGCTACATTAAGTGCTCTGGCACCGTGGGAGCTGAAATTTTACAAGGGCTTTAGCCTTCTCTACAGAATTGTGGGAGTTGAAGTCCTAAACACCCTGAAGACCCAAGTTTACCCATGCTAGGAATTGTGGGAGTTGATGTCCAAAACACCTGGAGGGCCCAAGTTTGCCCATGTTAGGAATTGTGGGAGTCCAAAACACTTTGAAGGCCTAAGTTTGCCCATGCAAGGAATTGTGGGAATTGAAGTCCAAAACACCTGGAAGGCCCAAGTTTGCCCATGCTAGGAATTGTGGGAATTGAAGTCCAAAACACTTGGAAGGCCCAAGTTTGCCCATGCTAGGAAGTGTGGGAATTGAAGTCCAAAACACTTGGAAGGCCCAAGTTTGTCCATGCTAGGAATTGTGGGAGTTGGAGTCCAAAACACTTGGAGGGCCCAAGTTTGCCCATGCTAGGAATTGTGGGAATTGAAGTCCAAAACACTTGGAAGGCCCAAGTTTGCCCATGCTAGGAATTGTGGGAATTGAAGTCCAAAACACCTGGAAGGCCCAAGTTTGCCCATGCTAGGAATTGTGGGAGTTGACATCCAAAACACCTGGAGGGCCCAAGTTTGCCCATGCTAGGAATTGTGGGAGTTGACATCCAAAACACCTGGAGGGCCCAAGGTTGCCCATGCTAGGAATTGTGGGAGTTGACGTCCAAAACACCTGGAGAGCTCAAGTTTGCCCATGTCAGGAACTGTGGGAGTTGAAGTCCAAAATACCTTGAAGGTTCCAGTTTGCCCATGCTAGGAATTATGGGAGTTGAAGTCCAAAACACCTGGAGAGCCCATGTTTGCCCATGCTAGGAATTGTGGGAGTTGAAGTCCAAAACACCTGGAGAGCCCAAGTTGACCCATGCCTGTTTAGAGGTTATTTATTTTGTGTCAAAAGCATTGCATAAGCAAGCAAGTATAAAACTGATAAAGGAAGCAGAAGCGGCTAAATAATTTTAGACCAAAAACGGGCAACAGTGACCGCATTGTCTGTAGCTTTAAATAGTTCTTCCTCTGTGTATGAAGCAGGGCATTGTGTGCAAGCATGCAGATGCTGAGAGTCAGAAGACCTAAGCTTCACCTCTGGAATATAGATGGGAAATTAGATATAGAATAATATTTATAGTGTTGGGTATCCCCCGGCCCCCCGGTGCCATCCCCACTACCTCCCTTTAGACTGCCTTCGGATGATTTCGTAGGTTGATTTGGGTTTTAATAACTACTTGTATGTGGTTTTTAGCCTAGATTTTAAAATTTGTTGAAGTTTGAAGCATATAACCCCCTGGATGTGATGTGGCTGTGCAGGACTGGGTCACCCTGTTATGACCTGGTCATCGACCATAATAAAGTTTACTTACTTAAAGATGCTGAGTTGTTTGTTCTGCTCCACAGCCGCACAAGGTGGAGGATTCTTCTAGGTAGTACCACTTTGCCAGCTTGTCTTTTGATCTCCCAACTCCACTTCTGAGTCTGTTCAGAGACTTCCAAGTTGCCCATTCTTGGTTTGCCCCTGGATGAAGACTCTTGTGGAGGGCCACCCAGTTGAAATTGCCTGATTTTTCTGTCCACGGGGATACTTTTGCTGTTGCTGGAGGAACATTAAAGGGGATAGGGGTGGTTCTCATGAAACGTTTCCTTGATTTAAGCCTACTGGGAGGAAGCTGATAGCCATACAGTGGATGGCTTTCACAGTGTTCAACCTTATTTCTCTCGCAATTGACAGCAATTTCCCGTTGCACATCAGGAGATGCAATGCCAGCTAGCTTATAGAGTCTATCAACAGGTGTAGGTTTGAGACATCCTGTGATTATTCTACGTGTTTCATTCAGTGCTATATTCACCTCCTATGAGTGGGCAGACTTGTGCCAAACAGGGCAGGCATACTTAGCACTTGAGTAAGACAAGGCCAGGGCTGATGATTAATTTTGGGTCTGCAACCCCAATTTTGGGTCTGCACCCCATGTGTTACCAGTAAGTTTCCACAGGATGTTATTCATGCAGCTACTTTGTGCTTGGTGTTCGCACAGGGTTTCCTAAATGTAAGGCGATGCCAGGATATTTAGTGTGGGTCTTTGGAGGTGAAAGCAAAGTCTGGAGCTGCCTATATTATAGGGACATACAATGTGAGAAGGATTTACCAGCCAGAGTAAACTTGCCCTTGGAAGGGCAGCTATGAAGGAATTAGATAACACAAGTATATAAATATATAGTCAGATATTAAAATTAAGATTGTCATACCATCAGTATTTCCAGTTTCTATATATGGTTGTGAAAGGTGGCAGTGAAGAGAATCAGCTCATTTGAAATGTGCTGGAGGAATTTGGATACAGTAGATTGCTAAAAACAACAACAACAACAACAAAAAACAAGCAAATACATCCAGTCCCAAAGTTACGAACAAGATAGGTTTTGTGTTATCGAAGGCTTTCATAGGCGGAATCACTGGGCGGCTGTGATAATTTTTGTGAGATTGTTCTTAAGTTGAACTTGTATGTAAGTCAGAACAGTTAAATTTTTAAAATGTAACTCCAGCCGTGTGTGTGTGTTTGTGTGTGTGTGTGTGTGTAAGCTTTGGACAGCTTAGGGAAGGGTTAATTAACACCCCACAATTTTTGTTTTGCTGTCTGTTCAGAATATTTCACCTCACGTTTTGTTCCTGTAATATTGATGGCGGGGAGGCTTGTTGTGAAAACCAGGATTGGTGAGAAAGCCTCACTGGAGACCCCTTTTCCCCATGATAACTCTTTCCGGGGTGAATTTTCCTTTCTAGGGATAGTTTTCTCTCGCTTCCTGTTGTCTCACCTCCCTTCTTAATTATGAGTCATTTGTAAGTCAGATGTTTGTAACTCTGGGACTGTCTGTAAATGAATCTAGAGATGTGGTTCCCAACCTTGGTCCTCCAGATGTTTTTGGACTTCATCTCCCACAATTCACAACAGCTAGTAAGCTAGCTGGCATTTCTAGGAGTTGGAGTCCAAAACAATGGGAAGACCAAAGGTTGGGAACCATTGATCTATTATTATTGTTATTAATTTTATTTATACCCTTCTTTTCTCTCTGTGAGGACTCAAGGCATCTAACAATCTACACAAGACAAGCTTTAAAATGCAATACAAAAGTTAAAAAAAACAATTAAATAGTAATAGTGTGGTAATAACAGAATCAAGATACAATAAATATACTAAAATTGCCTTTAAAACTCATATTCCCCCACCAATTCCACCCAACCTTCCCAAAGCCTGCCCTTTACCCTAGATCTAGAATAAATCATGTCTGAACTCTCCCTAAAAGCCAAGATGACCAAACCAATACTGTTCTTTGGACATATCATAAGAAGCCATGATTCAGTAGAAAGGATTTTTTTTTGTCGTGTCAGGAGCATCCTGTTGTGAGAGAATTGGCCGTCTGCAAAGACGTTGCCCAGGGGACGCCCGGATGATTTTTGATGTTTTATCATCCTTGTGGGAGGCTTCTCTCATGTCCCCGCATGAGGAGCTGGAGCTGATAGAGGGAGCTCAACCGCCTCTCCCCGGATTTGAACCTGCAACCTGTCGGTCTTCAGTCCTGCCAGCACAGGGCTTTAACCCACTGCGCCACCGGGGGCTCCAGTAGAAAGGATAATAATGTTTGGTAAGGTAGAAAGCAGTAGGAAAAGAAGTCCAAAAACCAGAGGATAGACTCAATCAGAGAAGCTATGACCCTGGGTCTGCAAGACCTGAGCAGGACTGTTGAGGACAGACTAACATGACTGTCTCTCATTCATGGGGTTTGTTTGTTTGTTTTTTGTGTGTGAGGAGCAACTTGAGAAACTGCAGGTCGCTTCTGGTGTGAGAGAATTGACAGTCCGCAAGGACGTTGCCCAGGAGACTCCTGGATGTTTTCCCATTCTGTAGGAGGCTTCTCTCATGAGAAGCTGGAGCTGACAGATAGGAGCTCACCCCGCTCCCTGGATTTGAACCACTGACCTTTGGTCAAGAGTCCTGCCAGCTCAAGGGTTTAACCCATTTCATCACAGGGGCTCCTCTATTCATAGGGTTGTCATAAGTTTAAATCAACTCGCGGGCAATTACCAAGGAAGGACATGTTACTCCCAATCCCTCTTGGCCTAATGCATTGCAATTCCCTCAGCTTATGACTGTTAACTATGCTGGCTGTGGAATTCTGAAAGTTAGGATACTTTTCCAGTTTCTGTCCTTAAACATGTGGCAGCAGGTCTGCATCCAAATGCATCAATTGCAAAGAGTCAATACACACTCCTTCAAAACTAGAAATAGTCCTAAAATGCAAAACACCAACCTACGCATCAGAGCATCCCATGAGTCATACCTACATTTTATCATGCAAATTGCATCATTAGTTGCCCTTTTGGTTTTAAAAAAAATGTGTCGCAAAGTAAGGGGCAACTAAGCAGTCATCTGCATTCTCTGCATTCTTAAATTGCTTACATCAGAAGAAGGTAATTAGAATGAAAATGTTTTGTTTCGGATGGGAAGAAGAGTGGGCTTGGAGAGTTCTTGCCTCTTCCTAAGTAACTTCTGATTCACTCAGAAAGTACCATACCAATTTGGATCTCTTTTAATGACTGCTTATGCAATTGTTAAATTGAATTCCTTGTTTGTTCACTGAGTGGAGAGATTTTGGAGTAATGGGGCATATATAATAGTTTTTATTAAAAAATGAGACCCAGCAACTAAAAGCTGTGTGCAAAAGATTTGCAATGAGAATGCTGCTGCTAGGAATGCAATGTAGCAGAAGATTACAGTT